CGGGGCAGGGCAGCTGGTCGAGGCCAGCAGCCTTTTCGCGGGGCCGGGAACCCATTAGCGCCCGAAGCGCCCCAGGCGGACCCACGGTCGCATGTTTTCGAACTGCCGACAGCCGGGGTCCGCTGCCTCAAGCCGGATGTCCCCGTAGGCGGCCGACTGGCTCTATTCCTGCAGGAATGGGAGACAGTCACATCCAATCCCTGGACCCTGTCCACTCTAAGGGATGGCCATTTGCCTCGGTGGAAACATCATCCGCCCCCCTTCTCCGGGATAAAGCACACTCCGGTGCCTGCTACCCTGGAGAGGGCGGAATTCCTCCGTGCCGAGGTCGACGCACTTCTTATGAAGGCTGCGATCGAACCGGTTCCCGTGGGACAGGAAAGCGAGGGCTTCTACTCGACATATTTCCTAGTCACCAAAAAAGACGGAGGGTTCAGGCCTATTCTCAATCTGAGAAGGCTGAACAAACTTATAGAGGTACCGTCCTTCAGGATGGAGACACTGCGCTCGGTGATCTCAGCTGTCGAGACCGGAGAATGGCTAACGTCAATAGACCTAAAAGACGCCTATCTCCACGTACCCATACACCCCGAGTTCAAGAAATACCTCAGGTTTTCTTTCGACGGGAGGTGTTATCAGTTCAGGGTTCTACCATTCGGGATCGCTACGGCCCCAAGGGTGTTCACCAAGCTGATGTTGATTCCCGCCCAAGTGGCCAGGTCAAAAGGTCGGTTCTGCCATCCGTACCTCGACGACTGGTTACTAAGAGCTCTATCGCAATCCCTGAGTCAGATAGCTACACAACAAGTGATAGATATTCTGATCACTCTAGGGTGGATAGTCAATCTCAAGAAGTCAGATCTGAGCCCTACTCAGAATCTAGTCTTCCTAGGGGCGAATTTCAACACGGTGAGCGGACTTGTATCTCTGTCACAAGATCGCATTACCAAGGTCAGAAGTGTTACTTCCCAGTTCCTTCTGTCCGCCAGTCACACTGCTCGTACATGGCTCCAGTTACTGGGCAACATGGCGGCGACAGTGGATGTGGTTTGGCGGGCGCGCTTGAGAATGAGACCCATTCAACAAGCGCTCCGTCGACTTTGGGTGAACTCGGAAGATCTCGAGACTGTTCTCGAGACTCCGCAGTGGCTCAATGCACACCTTCAGTGGTGGACCGAGGTCGGGAATCTGTCCCGGGGGCTCCCCCTCGACACTCCCGTGCCGTCTCTCACAGTTCAAACAGACGCGTCACTCTCCGGCTGGGGAGGCGTTCTGAACGATCACACTGCCTCGGGACTATGGTCCCAGCAGGAGATCAAACTGCATATCAATGTGCTAGAACTGAGAGCGGTCAGGTTGGTGTTCCAACGCTTCCTGGATCTGCTTCGTGGCCAAGTGGTGCGTCTAGAGATGGACAACCAAACGGCGATGACTTACATCCGGAAGCAGGGGGGAACGGTGTCTCCGTCGCTTCTCCAAGAGACGTGGCAGTTCCTCCTATGGTGCGACTCACACGTTATCAGGGTGCTACCTGTTTATCTCCCGGGGGTAGACAACGTCCGTGTGGACGCTCTGTCTCGCCGGATCCTCGCTCCTCACAAGTGGAGGCTCGACCCGGGGATATTCGGGATTATCTCCTAGTTATACGGGTCGTTCCAGGTGGATCTGTTTGCGTCTGGGGTGAATCACCAGACACCAACGTTCTGCTCCCGAGTCCCCGACCCGAGGTCGGTGGCACCGGACGCCTTCCAGCTAGATTGGACGGACAGAATACTGTGGGCATTCCCCCCAGTACCTCTGATTTCCAAGGTCCTGTCTCAGCTAGCCACTCAGCCTGCGCGACTACTTGTGCTCCTGGCACCCCTTTGGTCGGCGCAGAGTTGGTTTCCAGTCATACTCAGGTTTCTGGCTCAGCCTCCTGTTCTATTACCTTTACGACCGGACCTCCTATCCCAGAACGAGGCCCTCCACCCGAATCCCAGGATTCAGTGGGTGGCTTGGCCACTGTCCGGAATCGCCTCCAGGAGAGCGGTATTCCTGCACGAGTTGCAGACACAATACTGGCTTCGCGGAGGGATTCGACAAACGTTCAGTACGAGGATAGATGGGCCTGCTATGCGCGCTGGTGTGTCGATAGAAGGATTGCAGATCCCTTTTCTGCAGATCTCGTAGCCGTACTTGAGTTCCTCCAGTCGCGACTAGATGTCGGCCTGGCCGCATCGACAGTCCGGGGGTACTCTACAGCTATCGCTGCCTTTCACGTCCCCGTCGACGGGGCACTTTTGGGTGCGCACCCATTAGTGCAGCGTTTTTTAGCAGGTGTGGACAGGATCCGACCGCCTGTCCGGCGGATCAGTCCCCCTTGGGAATTGTCAATCGTTCTTGATTGGCTGTCCGGTCCTTCTTTTCGGGATCTGTCGTCGCTCTCTCTTCAGCTGTTGAGCTGGAAGACGGCGTTCCTTGTGGCGGTAACGTCCGGCAGACGGGTAGGCGACATTCACGCAATGTCAGCCGATCCCGAACTAACTGTCTTTCACCGGGACAGGGTCAGTATTCGCCTGCCGGACTCTTACCGTCCTAAGGTCGCACACGCCTTCCACGTGACGGCTCCTATTGAGCTACCTGCTCTTTCACAGCCTTCCTCGTCGACCCTTAAGTCCTATATCAGCAGAACTAAGGGTATCCGTAAGGATAATCAACTATTTTGCTGTTATGGCGGTAGGAAGGCTGGCTCACCTGCGAGCAAACAAACTATCTCGCGGTGGATAGTCTCTACTATATGTACGGCGTACACGCTTCAAGGCAGGGACCCCCCTACCAAGTTGAAGGCTCATTCGGTTAGAGCAGTGGCTACGACACAAGCGTATGCTGCGGCTCTGCCCATTGAGGAGATCTGCTCCGCGGCTATTTGGAGCCAGCCGAGCACGTTCATCAAACATTACCAACTCGACAAACACTCAAGCGAGCGTGCTCGGTTTGGTCAGTCAGTTCTCCGAACTGGGCAAAGTTCTACATCTCTAGCCGATTGAGCCTTCGAGATTTTAGACCGCCCGGACCGGTTATAACACTGCTCAGTAGCGGTCCGGATTTTATCTTCTACGGTCGATACAATACCAGCCATTACTAGTCGATAATCATCGTAATTGCACATGCACTCCTTCGATTACGGGGACCCTCTGGCCTAGCTCTGTGCGGGTTTATAGTCTCTCGTGATCTGTGCCCCCAATATCACTTGTTCAAAAAAGTGGGTGGGGTGGGGGGTGTGTGTGTCTCGAGTTCTCGATATGATGAGCCACAAAGAAAGGCTCTTTTCATTGTGTATGGTCGATAACGCCCTGTCTCCAGCCTCCGCCTTTCGACGGTGGTGCCTCACGATAAGGTTGGTTCCATTTATTGAACTCTTGTTTATTCATTGAAATAATCAAAATACGATGTATTTTATGCACGCTTGTTGCTGACGGATGCCACTTCCTAGATTATCTTTAGGAGTCTATCTTGATGCAATAAGTGCCCCAAGGAGGATTTAATCTGAAAGAGAATTTTACAAACCTGTAGAGGTTATGAATTCTCTGATGAAATCCTCCTTGGGGCACGGCCACCCGCCTCCCCACATTCCGTCAGCATTAGACATATGGAAAGTGATTTGGGTGAGAGTTGCTTCCCTTGGCGTGACGCGCCGTGGAGGGTGAGGCACCATAAGGGTGGACGTATATCATACAAAAACAAAGTTTTTTGTGTGGTAACAATTTTTATTAAGGAAAATGGTTACAACTATGTCATGTAGATTTTCTTGAGCCAGGAAAATGCAATAAGTGCCATAAGTGCCCCAAGTGCCCCAAGGAGGATTTCATCAGAGAATTCATAACCTCTACAGGTTTGTAAAAGTTTTTTGTGTGGTAACAATTTTTATTAAGGAAAATGGTTACAACTATGTCATGTAGATTTTCTTGAGCCAGGAAAATGCAATAAGTGCCCCAAGGAGGATTTCATCAGAGAATTCATAACCTCTACAGGTTTGTAAAAATTATGTCTTTAATTGTCTGTCGTGTATCCCAACCTTGTGATGCATGCTTACAAATACTGGAATTAGGTCACGCGCCTAATGCATACTTTAAGTAGGATTGCTCTGGGATATACGGTCTGAATGAAATTAATTTCCCTCTTTTCGACTGTTTAACCTGATCTAAGATTTAGCTCACACGGATACTGTGTTCTCATCCGCTGCGGCGATGAAATACCTATCCAGTGGGGCCGTTTGGAGTCACCAATCGTTTTGGCAATGACGATTGAGCCTTACGGTATGCGCTTGACAGTGCTTTGGTATTCCTATAGGGTAACGCCTAGCTAGGTACATGCGCATCGAGTGCTTCCGCCTTGGTGTTTACTTCCGCTGGTCGGAAGGAACGCTAGCAGTCAGGATTCGGGTTGTAGGTGCTCCCCACCGCCTACTGTGGTAGTCAGCCTCGGTATAACAGTGGTAACGTATTACTTAATGTAATTTGTAGAATTTTCCTATTCGGAATATTCTATAAGTAATACGTTACCACTGGGCTGCTGCCCGCCCGTCCGTCCCCCGAGCACTTGCTCTCGCAAGAGACAAGAGTGAAGGGTGTCACCTGGCAGCTAGGTGGCTACGCACGTGCTGCATGAGGTAATTGAGATCTCTGTGGTAGATTTTGCTATAGCAGCAGTTGTGGGAGACAACAGCCTCGGTATAACAGTGGTAACGTATTACTTATAGAATATTCCGAATAGGAAAATTCTACAAGTATTCCTACTCCATGGTTCTACTGTACGTATATGTATTCCTACTCCATGGTTCTACTGTGTGTAGATGTATTCCTATTCCATGGTTCTACTGTGTGTATATGTATTCCTACTCCATGGTTCTACTGTGTGTATATGTATCCCTACTCCATGGTTCTACTGTGTGTATATGTATTCCTACTCTATGGTTCTACTGTGTGTATATGTATTCCTACTCTATGGTTCCCCTGCAGATGCTGAATTCCTGCATCTTCTCAACTCGTCATCAGCGAAGGAGCTGCAGCAGCTCCACACCGTGGGCAACAAGCGGGCGCGGCTCATCTTTGAGTGGCGTGAGCTGCATGGCCTCTTCACCAAGGTGAGGAGGAACAGGGTTGTTTGATGTATGTAGGAATGTCAAAGCTTTGGTTCAATTTGCAAGGATAGCTCTTGCTCCCAGGCCTCATTTTCCATGCTTTTGAAAGTAAGAAAGTTGGTAACTCAGGAAAGGGGGAACAATTGACAGTCATCTGAGGCAGCACTGTTCACTTTGCAGAGTTGGTTTGTCTACATCTTTAACGTGCAGTTTACACTATATACAGCTTTCCCATTGGACAACTGTTGTTTACTTGCCTTTGAATAACACATTTTTCACAAGATACAAACACTGACGGACTACATTCCTCGCACAAATAATACAGAAATGTTGTTTCTGATCATCTTCATGTTCTTTTACTTGTGATGGAATATCTTTGCTACGACCCATTCTAAATGCACATCCAAACTATAATCAACACAACCGTAGGACACTCAACCAGAGACCTACACTATCAAATCATACAACAGCTTAAAACAGACCCTGAGTCAGCTCAGAGCACGGCTAGACGCCAGTCCATTGAACTAAAATGGATATTTGATCTGAAAACCATCCATCCGCAGGGCATGAATGATAAGATCTAATCCTGGAATTCCCAAACCCACCTACCTATATTCTATAATCAACACAATCCATACCTAGAATGACAGTCAACAACATACCTACATCAATCTATGAATTTACTTCAATATCTATTCGACACATCTTATAGAATCACCATTAAATGATGGGCCATCATGGACAACTTTGGACATCTCTGTCATCACATTGATTATGTTGGCATCCATTACATGTCAATGTAATACAACGGACTGGCATTGACTGGCATAATAGGTAGTTCTTAACAGACAAGATATAATTACAATCTATTTGTTGTAACCAAACCTACAAAAGATTTCAGCCTACATACCTTTTATTTGAGGAACTATATTCTCCCGCAATACAGCTGGTTCTACTGGAGCTACTAATACTAATGTGTGATCTGCTACAGACACACAACCTAACATATGTCTGAATTAGAACATTTATAGTAGAAATAAAGTGTGTTCAGTAGACAAATTATCCCTTTTAATCAATTTGTTAATGTTGATTTTGTTGCAGATTCAAGACTTGAGGGGTATTCCTGGCTTCACAGAGAAATATGTACAGAATCTGTTACATGTAGGTATTTACAGTAGAATCTGTTACATGTAGGTATTTACAGTAGAATCTGTTACATGAAGGTATTTATTTTAGAATCTGTTGCATGTAGGTATTTACAGTAGAAATATGTTACATGTAGGTATTTACAGTGAATCTGCTGCATGTATATTTAAAAATATACGACTCGTGGAGAGAAAATAAACAGCTAGATCTGTGGGGAACAACTTACTAGACACTTCCCTCTCAAAATTGATGTCGTCCAATATATGACATCAAGATGAGAGTGCTTATTCGAATCACAAGAAATGACATCATGATAGTACAATGTTTTATCATGAAATATACCATGCTTTGTTCTTCATAGTTCTTTGCGTTTTAGATTTACCATGTAGCTATCTTATAAAGAATACTAAACAAGCTCCTGTGCAATACCAATTTTATGAAACGTGAATAGTTCTGGTAACTAACAAGCAAAATTGGTATTACATGGGAATGGGTTTAGTATTTGATATATTACTAGCCGTTTAAAACTTTTTAAAACCTTATTTGATCCAACTATGGGAATTCCCGCCATAAACTAAGTGAAGCGTATGAATTTAATATTTCACTGTCGTGTGTACATAGGCAGACATTGACGTGATCCATATCATAATCCAATGGAATTTAGCAGAATACATGTAATACAGCTTCAAGTTATATTATTACCATACAACAACCTACCTCAATTCATCACCAAAATGTTTAACAGGTTACAGTACTGTATGATGCACTAAAGTACTCATGGAAATGAAAAAAACTGTTTTGCTGGATTTAATAATCGACACAAAGCATTACGTAGATGTAAATACGAAATAACAAAACAACTGGAAAAGTACAAGTCTGGATTTGCTAGTTTTATCTCAGTGCTCAATACAAAATGTACTTTACAGGAGGTAATTTGTAGGCACTTTCAACATTCAAAAATAAAACTAAGTCCAAATTGACATGGCAGAAACAGGCTATAGGCATTATGCAAATTAGACTGGAAAAAAAGTTATCAAAACAATAAAAATAACAGCTATGTTTATGTACATAATAATAATGACATGTAAGTTGTTGTTTGAGAAGGGAATATGTTACTTTTACGTTCTGATATTTTGACGATGATTCACTATCCAACAATGCCACTCACAAATCACTAACCACTGACAAATCACATGCACGTGGGTTTCAAGCACCCGTTTTCACCTGTCGTCAAGGTGTCATAGGTCATGGACATATTTCACCTTGATCTACTAACACCTGGTTATGCTGTTTCACAATAGTCTGTTTTGTTCATATTTTTTACACACTTTTACGTGTAAAAAGACATAAAAACCCTTGATACGCTGTATTTGTGCCAAGGCCCAATTAGTACTAATTGAGTTGTTTGAATATTTATATATTTTGTATATTAACTGCATTTATTTAAAACCTGAGATCGAAAAAACAGGGTTTTTTCATTTCTATGAGTACTTTAATCATATCGGAACTACAGTAGCAATGGGCACCTTGGAATGTATCCTGTTTTACAGTGTAATTTGTGGTTTTTTAGTACTTGTATTTCCATATTTCAGAGCAATATGGTGTCCCTGGCTGTATAGAGAAACTGATAATGTGGAAATCATTTTTACTGGACTGTATTGAAGTGGTGCTGCTCACACCATCTCCCCTCACCTACAAGCACTTGCAGCTTGGGGCAGCCATACCTGGGATTGGATGCTCACAACAGACCAGTGTCAACACGGCCATGGCCAACTATCTTGACTACCGACTCTGTCTGGCTGTGTGTGTATGTGGGACATCAAGTCTTGTGATAGTTGGTTCCTGCAGGTGCAACTCATACACAATCACTTTTTCATCAACCCATTAATGTTGTTCTTCAACTCCATGAAATGTACAAACAAGGAGGGTTTTCCTTGAAATTTACTGGAGGTCCCTATGGCTCTAAATAAGATGTTTAATGGAACAACTACACGAAACTTCTTATCAGTACTTTAAGATTGTTGGAGATTTCATTCACATGGCTTCTTTTGTAAGATGCCAACAAAATGATTGCCAAGCTGATCAAACATTGAACCATGCAAACATCCATTTCTTGGTTGACTGAATACACAATGTGGAGGAGTTGATTTTCATTTACATGGACTATTGTGCCATATACACAGAATTCATGCATTGGGGAAACTCCTGTCTATGTAGCTCAAGTAATGCATACGATCCTGAAGATTTATAGTGCAAGACCAACCAGGGTTGGGCAAATATACTGGTCCACTGGACAGGTGCCAGCAAACGAGTCAGGCCAAGCATTATCAAGTTGGTCCGTCTAGTGGAAAATATGAACTCCATCTCCTCATTTACCGAGCAGGAAGGAAAGACATGAATCACAATTTAAAGGTAAAGTTCCTCTGATGTAATGTAGTGGTGTGGCAATGGTCTGCGAGGTTTAGGTAGCACTGGTCCATATGGCTACCTGAGAAAATGATATTGTCTATAGGTCATGTGTCATTGTGCAGTCTAGATGTTTATCCCATTAGTGCAGCAGTTTCAGTAGTGGCCGACGGTTGTCATGTATCTTGTACATAACCATGCAAACACTACACAGTTTAGAGAAATGAAATTTATTAAGTAAATTAAATCCTACTAAGAATGACTAAATCAAGTTTGAGAACACTTCAAGACATAAATGGATTGCATGTATAGGTACTGATTACAATCCACGTTTCTGTATGAATCTTGTTCATGTTGGACTCACCATATGCCATTTTTGTTACCAGCAACAATTGCACAACTTTACTAGGGGTTCTGTATTTGCACGATTCTAGTTATTTCAAAATAAATATCACCCTTTTCCTAGCTGCAATATCATAGCTATGAATTGCTCAGCTTTTTTATCTGTGCTTCACCGAGGCCGAGGTAATTAACTCCACTCCTTCATATTTTATTACTTTTATGCTTATCAAAAAATTAGTTCCAATGGATGATTTGGCTGTATTCAAAGGTAAATGGTTTGGGAACATGAGGTATAAAACTTTCCACAACATTATGTAACTCACCCTCCAATAGAGCTTATGAATGACGGTGCAGACGTTAGTAGAACCTTACGATTCATCTGTGAATCATAGCTAACCAGTGAATGTTGGACAATATAAGCAAAGCAGTAGATATAGCTACTATTTTGTACCATGAGACATGTAATAAACTGCCATCTGATTGTTTCAAAATCTTTGCTAAAATAAATGGCATTTGAATCCCTTAAATCAACTTGTGAATTAATGTTTGTTTATAATGTTATTAGATGCTATTTACAAGATGTCAGATTCCCCTGAAGCCATAGCTGGAATATTGCTGATGCGGCTTAAAGCACCAAAGTTGACCAATGCTAACTAACAGTTACCATATGAATAAATAGGATTTTCTGCATCCCTGGTTGATGTTTCTAAAGCTACCAATAACAAATGCCTCTTCATTCCATTCTTATTTGTATCCCATCAGATCACTCGTTATCATGTTTCTTCCACTGGTGCAATAGCTCATAAAATAAACATATCTCATCTCAATTAAGTGTTGGTCATCTGTTCATCCTGTGATTGATGTTATATACCAGGTCTCGTTCCAGCAACACTAGGCCGCCTCTGTGGTGTATGTAGTGGATGGCGTGTCTGTCCACAGGGAGAGGAAGGCTGGCTGGCCACGTCATTGCCATAGATGTTAAAACATGATACTTCTCGTTATCCTGCCTGGTGCTCAGCATCACGGTGCATACTGTATTTGAGTGGGGGTATTCATGTTGAAACTGTGTCATGCTCATAAGAGGCAACTGATGGGACCGGGTGGTCAGACTCGTTGATTTGCATGTCATTGTATCCAAATAGCATAGATCGAAGCTCATGAATCACTGGACTGTCTGGTCCAGACTGCCGTCAAACTGTGGAGTGTGGCATTAAACAAACAAACATTGCATTTGAGCGGACAAGCACTTTAAATGTGATATTAGTCTGGACTAGTACAAACAGCCATACACCTGTACACAAGATCATCAGTTTTCAACACCTCCAATCAAGCAGCATCAGTACATCAAATAGTACTGCAAGTCATTTTTTTTATCAAGTAAATCAACTGCATAGGGAGTTTAACGGTTCAGAAATCCATTCAGACTCTCCAGATGAGGGAAACTGATATACCTGGTAGTTCACCTACATTGAGAACAGCCAATCAAACTTTCATAGACAGAGGGATTACAACACGTGGGTATCGAATATCCTTTTTTCTTCCTGTTCTCCAACAATGTTTGAATGAGATGGGAAGACTTTACTTACTAATACTGGAATCACATGTTTCAAGTCGAGGGGGGACAGTCTTACTGCTGTGAACCTGCCTACATGCAATGAAGTCTATGTAGGTAGGGATACAGCAGTAGGGCTAGTATGCTCTACTCAAAACCAGATTCCTGTGATAAATAATACAACATAGCTCAACACCAACATGTTTTATTGGAGCCTCGAACGTAGTCTATGTATCAAGTTTACTTTGGTTGCCTGTTAGAAGTTCATCTGATCTTCAACATGTGTTTGCTACACCTCAGGTGGACATATTGCATCACCATGATACTCCTTAGTATCTTGGATATATTCACTGTTGGTTCTTTATTATTAATTCAAATATATGCCCACAGTACATAATAATCAAAAAAGACACTCAACACGTTCAAGGGAAAGGGAAACAAAAAACAAAACAAATTCTATGAGTACAGTTTAACAGCATCTCTTGAAGCATGACAGCTACTTGCAGTTACTAAGCCAGATGTTCTGATGCCAGCCAGGACATCCTAGAGGTTGACGAGGCAGGTTACAGGTTCTATATTACAGTGTTCAATAAGAGAAATCGCCCTTCCAAGTTCATTCAGCAACAACCATTCATCTATGTAAAACCGTTCATTCCCCTAAATTCACAACATCAAGCTGTTCCTGAAAGACAAAAGAAACACCCAAAGTTAAAAAATATATATTAAATGGGCTTCGGGGAGCTCTTGGTGAACTTTGTCACTCTGCAAATAATTCAACAAGGTGTAATAACGCTATCCTGTTAACAGTGTAATGTACAATCATGAATGTCCAGTTGCAAATTGTCACTTATGACTGACTGTAATTTATTCCTAAAACAACTTGACACCTTAGATTCTTTAAATCAGTTGGCAAGTGTGTTTTGGAATGTACAAAAGGCTAGCAAAGTATTATGTCTGGTGAGTCGAAGCTGTCAGCAGCCATTAAATTAGTTCACTCACTCATACACTTGAGTCCAATGGCTAAAGATTATGGGAAGTGCTTGAGGTCTTCTATGACATTTGAGACTAGCTAAATATTTTAACATGAGGTTATGACAAAGATTTACGCTTAAGTTGAAACACCTGTCTTATAAAGCTGTCCTGAAGCTATCCAGCAGATACTATAAGTAATCACTATCAAAGTAATATTTAATCCCTAAGAAATGTGTGTCCTGTCGATAATTGTAATGAAAGCCACACATACTTTATCATGAATTTAACCTAAATATCAAAGTTCCCATCTCACCATTTTGTAGCTTGCACTGCCTGAGTGCTTCATTGAATCCAAAACACAGAGAGAGGTCGGACTGGTTGTTGGCACAGTCAAGGAACTGCTTCAGTTCCACCTGGCAGGGTCCAGCTGACTGCTGCTGCTGCTGCTGCTGCTGATATAAAGGCTGGGGGGTCTCCTGCTGGGGGGCAGGAGCATTGCCTCCTCCCATCCCTCCTGTCATGGCTGCCCCAATGGTGTGACCCTGTTCAGCAAAACAGTAGAAATCCGGGTATAAGTACTGTTGCATTGTGTATTTATGAATGAGACTGATATCCAAAAGAATACAGCATGTAGCAGGGTCTCTTCTAGATTACACTTGTCCTTTCCCATAATTTTTAGAAATATTTACAGGGTTAGAAACTAGTTTTTGTCCACTAGTCCTTATAATGATAACATATAGCAAAACCCTTAAAATGGGCCAATTCCTACTAGTCCTTAGGAAACCTTTACTATTGGGCAGTTTGGTAAGGACTACAGGAATAGTGCCAATTATATGACCAGCATATGTTACTGGGGAGTAATTCTAATCCGGAACCTCAACAGGGTTTCTTTATTCTTCATAAACATTGAAATACTTCATATCCAGCAGTGTCAGAAGTCCAGAGTATCATGACACCTCAGTTTTATTACTGTTATTTACATGACAAGACACAGGACAGAATGCTCTAAACATGCTAAATGTACAATATTTCTATTCTCATAATCATAATAATCAGTGATTTTCTTGGCTGGAGACAAAATACAACATTTTCATTATTTTTAGATGTGTGACAGGAGATTCTTCTACATCATTACATATTTGGAAAAGAGGCATTCTGTTTCCTAGAATTGGAAAAATCTGAAAGCCTGATCATTCCTAGTCCATCATTCCAGGTGGAAGGCCATGCTCCAAAGTGCCCATCTCCAGGCTGGGTCCAGACGTTATATAAACAGTGCAGTGTGAAATGTCGACACTGTCCTCGTGTAATCAGGGTAGTCTTCAATCTCATTCAAATCTGATCTCAGTTCTCACTACCGCAAAACAAAGATCTGAGGACATCTTATCACAGGTCACGTCAGAACGACCTTTTGCAAACTTTTCCCGACCAATTCAATGACTAACAAGAAGTCTCCATTAGCCAATCAGAAAGCAGCTTTAATGGGCACTAGTTCGAAACAGGCGACATCCATTCAAGACTATGCTTGAAAAATATGTTGACAAAGTTCTCAATTTAAGAACAAACTGAACAAAACATTCTAGAATGTCTAATATATGGTCAAGATTGTATGGCAGAGCTCTTCCCCATTCGGAACACCCTGTGTTAACCTTTTCAAGTTTGCATGATTAGAAAACACATTCCAACTGTTACTTTCCTGATCTGGTAAGCCATGCTCTGATGTGACCTGTATTGGGATGTCCTCAGATCTTTGTTTAGCAGTAGCGAGAACTAAGATATAACTTTAATGAGATTGGGTAATCTTTAACTGTCATATTGATTACGTCATAAAGTAATGGAATTTAAACTTGCTAAGACTGCCAATTTACCAGACCCTGGTCCCCACTATTTAATCTCTTGTTGATGGCTTTTTTGACCAAATATCTTATAAATCTAATCAATTCCAAGTTCCAAATTAACATACATTCCCTAGTTCAAGACAAGTAAAATTCAGTAAGGACTGGTGACATTTCCTTGTTGGCTTACACATGTATCACAGAAGTAGATGCATGTCTGTAGATCATTTTTGTCGACATGTGAAATCCCTGAATCCATGACAGTAGTTATTAACAATGAATCTCACCACTGCAGACCCAACAGCAACTCCAGCAGCAGTTGTGGCCATCTGTGCCATGAGACCTGGCTGGCGGGGTTGTGCGTGGACTGGGGCAGGTGGGGGAGGAGCATGGTGCTGAGCTGGAACCTGCGACACCGGGCGCCGGGGAGCCGGAGAGCTGCAACAAGTAGTTGAAACATTAAGATGTGCTAGAACATTTAAATGATGCATTTATCAGTTTTGTTATGTTTTTTTTTTTCAAAATGCATTTTAGCAGTATTTGATCATTGACAGGACAATGTTATATTCTTTATATAGGATATATGTGTGTGTTCATAAAAAAGAGTGATATAGATTTTGATAATAACCTTTTTAGTACACTGCTTTTCAATTCGTTAATTTCCTAGAGTCCGTTCTATTTATCATATTAATCTTGGCGAAGATTTACCCAACAGGGTACTGCACAGAAAGTGATACAGTTCAAGATAATGGAGGATGGAAAGATGATGACATCCCACCAAATGACTGCTACACGAATTGTGAAACCAAGTGTGGAGCAACGTACAACGGGGGTCTTGACAATGACTTGATTTTCATTTTGTGTTCAACTGAAGGATAAACCAAAATTCTAAATATACTGGTGACTCAATTCAATTCAAAGACCATCACTCTTGCATAAAACATTTGCGTCTTACTCAACACGACCGATAACTCCTGTTTCACCAGATACTTGCGAAAAGGTCACCTTGTGAAAAGTCATATATGTTCACAAACAATCCATGTACACCATTTCTTCAATGTTCCGTGAAAAAATATACAATCACAAAATACATGTCCACTTCTCACTTACCTCATACGTCCTCTGCGCGGCATAGTGGTGATGGAGGAGAAATGCACTGACTTACGATGATTGAGTTCGAGAACGCACGGTACTTCCGTTACATAAACCACACTAATCCGAGCTGGCGATCTAACAATTTTCTGATTGGTCGAATTTCTCTCGTCAAACTACAAACTGGTTCTACTGTGTTGATACCCAAAGCTTTACACGCTCCGGCGCAGTGGTGACTTAGCATAACGCTATGCTGGTCGCATGGAACCCTGGGAAGGAGAGTGGCAAGCTTAGTGCGACTTTCTAGTATAGGTAGACAGGAACCCGGTCTATACAAACTACAGATACACTGTTCCTGTCGCCTGATAAGACACAACTGTGGACCATATCAGTCTTACGAAAGAGCGATGCAGTATACATATACGTATCCAAACGAGTATTCCCGTTAAACAGTCACATTGTGTTTGTTTCTCATGAAGGTCTAGGTACAAAGATAGTTAATATGTAGTTTATCATTCCAAATCCCTATACATCATTGGGGAACTGGTCATTTAATATATGGTGACAGTGAAAGAAGGGGAGGGGTAGAACCTCCTCCTCCGCTGGGAGCCAATAATAAAATATCATCAGCATATAATATAATACCAATATTGGTATGCGGAGGATAAACTGCAAAATATGTTAAGCGTTGTCAATGAATGGTGTCAAAAGTGGAGACATGCGGTTATTCCCACAAAAACTAAGATTGTTCATTTTAGGCCTACTATTCAATTGGTGAAACTCTTTTGAAGAATAGTGACAATTATAAATATCTTGGTTTGTTGCTCAACTAACATATGGACTTTAAGTTCACAGTTAATGAACTGGCTAAATCGGCAAGTCGAGATTTTGGTGTTTTGTGTACAAAATATTTTTTTATGCAATATGGTGCTTCCATCTGGGGGTTGTATGAACATAAAAGGTTAAACACATTGCAAAACAAAGCATGTTAAACGTTTCTGGGCCTAAGACGTAATGCGTCAAATGTTGCCACCAGAGAAGACATGGGTTGGAAATCATGTGTCACTAAGCAACGTATAGAAGTATTTCGTTTATTCTTCCGCCTTAACAGTATGGAAATTACAAGATTGTCCCGTGTCATTCATGCTTGGTCAAGTAAAAGAGGGCGCTCATGGGAAAAGGATGTTTACAAGCTAGCTAGAAACTTCAACGTCGTCGACACGTGGTCAGTTCACTCTCATTAAGCAAACATTATTTCAAATGGGTGAAACTGTAATTCTGACAGTATGTGTGTGCGCGTGCGTGTGTCTGCATGTGTATATGTGTTCAACGAATTTCATAACGGACACACACACACCCCAACCCTCCAGCGGACTAACATCTACGTTGTCAAATAATCTTAATAAACTAGAATAAAAAGGAGCCCGGAGACTCTGATACCGCAGTAATAGAAACTTGCATGGGTTGTATTGGATATGTATTCAGGGTCTTCATGACTACAAAGTCCAGCAGTTAAATTGGAGTAACGAAAGGAGGGGAGCTGGGAGAAGCGCTCGTACATTCCTAGACTAACATTTAGTCTGTGAAATGAACATATCGTACATAAAAAAACAGTTGTTCAGTTATCTTAATAAAAATATAATAAAAAGGAGCCCAGTGACTCTCTTCATTTTCAGATACTGCAGTGATCTAGACTTGCCAAACATTATAGACTTGCATGGGCTATTTTTGATATATATTTGTATCAGGGTCTGTAAGACAGACTAGTACATTCCGCACATCAGCCTTCTATCGATCTGCTCCCGAATCGGTAATACTGTACCCAACTTTTGGCTTTCGGAGGATGACTGAATCCCGGTGAACGCTTAGAGGGGTGTTCATGCTATTGTCTTTCCACACTACTGAACTGATTTCAACATCATTTCAAGTAAGAATAAACATATGTCATTAAAAACATTGACATAATAACACCTCACTACAACCATCACATGTTGAATATGAACGTCAAAATACCATGCCTCGTTTCTGACTTTCATAATCAGTGTATGTTGTTTACTCCGCAGACGACACAGTTCCGCCTGTACCACGGGGGCATGGCCAGGCAAACCCCTCGCCAGGATAATGAGCATCGACCGGAGTATGATGACACACAATCAGGACCATTCGATCCCCATTTCAGTCCGCTCTTATGACAAACATGACGTACTGGGGACCTCTTCTGACTAGGTATGTCCGTTGTCAACTAATGTGAGAAATAAATAGATGAACCGGTCAGGCACATAGGAATATATCAATTTTACATGCTTATGTAATGATTTGCAAATATTTCGACTTCGCACTAAGTGCATTTCATTTCACTCCCTAGTGAGGTGGCCCACCTTTGGTTGCTGGTGATCTATAGCCCATTTTTATATTGTATTGTTGATTGAAATTGTATTCATTTAAACGTTCTCAACTAGTTTTAAAATCGAAACTGTGATATTCTAGTTATTCTACTGTCTTTCACTGACAGGTTTCTATCTCCATATACATCTATGTATTATGTGTCAGTTTTCGTCACGATATGGCTGAAATATTGTCGATGTGACGTTAAATTTTAACTCACTCACTCAATCATGTCACTCCAACCGACTCTTTTAGTACAAACACGTATCGATTTAAACTCTCAACGTTTGCAACTGCACGATTTGTATATTTATCTTGAGAGTTTAGTACGAAAAGTTGCTTATATAGCTATATAGAGCAAACATTAACCCGGATAATCGCCTGACAAGGGCACCCTAATTGGGGCAGGGCATGTGCGACAAACGTGTATGTGTAAACAGAGACCATATAATAGACCTATTTGGTCTCTGGTGTAAAGAAAAAATAAATAAAATAAATAAAATTCCTTGTCACTTTTATGTCCAACTTTTAAATGCCTATAAAGACTCTCACCAGATATTCTAGTCCATTGTTTCATAAATAACGTGCATTTGGGTATAACTGTCCGTGAATAAACATTGCGTTTTACTGATTAAATATAAGCTTCAAACGCAATCAGTTCTTTGGTACATAGTATTTGGGATCCTATGACTTAACTGACCAATCACAATGCTCGACACAACCTAACAAGCACCTGTTGTTGTCATCTGCTATGGCACGTGTAAACAATGTTGCTATTTGTTCGCGATATATTGATTATTTAATGCTTAAGGTTAAATTAACAGCTCGGAATTGTGAAAGGATATATTGATTTTGCAATCTTAAACAATAAAAGAACGTTGTTAATGTAATCAATGCCATAGAAAATTATGCAATCTGGTTTAAGTTACACCAGCCAGACTTGGGACCTGGCGTATCCCACGGCTTCCCTAGCAACCTCTACTTGGCTGAATGAACCTTGACTGACACGCACATAGCGGTTTCCACATTCATTAAACACAATAGAAAGAATAACGAGCTTTTGGGGCCATAGCGGGGTACACTTTGTAGTTAAGCATACGCGAGGCGTCCTTTGCATGACAAGGCCCGATTGGTTCTGGAGAAGCTGACACAGGATCTGGCGAGATACGGTGGATCCTTCGTTGAGGAATGGTGTACGCCAGTAACTCGTCTTGCGTGAACACTGGGGCGTGTGGTGCGATCAGCTGAATTAATGATTAGAACGTTTATCGAATCATTTGATGTGCTTATCTGCCATTCGCGCCTGGCGGACAGGAATCATGTGAGTGATTACCGGTACTTGAATTATTTAGACTGATTAAGCCAGTCACTTAGTTGTAAACTGTTGCCTGACAGATGCTGATCAACAGATAAAGGCGATATATATACAGATCCAAAAGCAAGGGCTTCATCTATTGACAGTTTCATTATTTCATATGATGTGATTTACCAGTGACATATTATTTATCACACTGAAAACGATAAGGTTATATTATCATCACAGAAAGTGACATAATTATCATAATTTTTTCTCTCTCTTTTTCAGATGAAAGCATATTTCTAGTTATTACCAGACCTAATTAACCATGGAGTCTGTGACTGCTTCAAAGAGAAGTTGTGATCACAGTGGTAAACCAAATATTCGTGACACAAAAAGTGCACCAAGTGAGTCTGTTCGTGGCACTAAGGAACTGCATGTTGTGGAAGAGGAGGATGAGGGATACGAGGGGGAAGACGAGTTTCGGGAGGATGGTATAGACACTGTTAAACCACAGAATGAAAACGTGAAGCTGGGTGGTCAAGAAGATCGACCTGCAACTGCTGAGAGTGGTCCAAAGTCTGTGAGAATGCCAGGAAGTCGTGTGGAGAGTGTGTGTTCAAGGTATGGAAGCTCAACAAAACTTGACAGCCGCCCCAGTACTGGGACTAGAGTGACAAGTGCACAAGGGGGACGTAGGGTGAGTTGTACACTTGACAGAGGTTTCATAACATTTAGATCACAATCTCTTGTTTTCCATTGTTGTCCCCAGGAAGACATATTAGCATGACCCTTAATGAAATAAGTTTAGGGACATTTCTAGTTAATTTTGCATTTCATTTTTCTACCAATTGCAAATTTACTATTAAACCATTACAAATTTCTTCAGTCATGTCACAAGTAAGGTTAGGGTTGTTTAAAGCCATGGCAAGGTCTTCAAAGTCTTCAAAGTGTTTTTGTACCCTGCCTTACATGCTACTGTACAATGAGATGGTTTCATGTCATTTCGTATCGTTGTAGCTTTGTATTCCAGTAGATTCATAGCCTTCAGACGGTCACAGACCGTTTCATACCTGGGGTTCAGTGTAACCACTTGCTGGTTTGTTCATTGTGTGTGTGTTTGCTTGATAGATAATGCTGTGTGATTCGTCAGTTAAAAAAGTCAATCAGCACACACAGGCAATATACATGTTGTGCATTTATTCAGAAAGAACAATATGTAAACTGTTCAATCAAGAGGTAAAAGTAATATCTCAAAATCCCTCCCCACATTTTATGGATAACAACTTCTTTAATACTGTGAAAAGCTCAGTATTAAAGAAGTTGTTATCCATAAAATTGTGTCTACCTTGTCATCCGTCAACTTCTAACTAATGCCTATCAAACAATTTAAGAATGTCACAATCAATAAATGCTCAACAATTATCGGTGAGAAACATCATTATAAAACCTGGAACTAGGCGGTATGAATGAGTTCCAACATTGGCAGTCGTAGTTGACATCCAGAAGGAAGGGGTTGATACTGCGAATGTAAAACATGGGAGATGTGGCTTAATATTTTATTTACTCCACTATTCTACTCTACTGCTCATAAATACTGCCGATGTCTTGGGAGAGGTGCCAATGATTTTACCCACCAAGTAACAGATTTTAAAGAGTTTATTTTTTCTGTGTACAGACAGGTATCTGTATCAGCTAGTGAAGTTATAAGTCAGAATACCTAAAATACATGGTCATGATGGTAGGGTCAGTCTGAATATGTCTTTGGTGATGGAGACAGCAAACCTCTGTTGGCCCTTTCTATTTATATATTCTGTATTAGGACCCCATGTGAGTTTGGAATCAGTGATGGTGCCCAGATATTTAGTATTGTCGACAAGAGCTAAAACCTCATTATCAAGAACAACTGGATTAAAACAGGAGTTTTGCCTACAAGAGCTAAAACCTCATTATCAAGAACAACTGGATTAAAACAGGAGTTTTGCCTACAAGAGCTAAAACCTCATTATCAAGAACAACTGGATGAAAACAGGAGTCATTTTGTCTGAAATCTATGACCATTTCCTTTGTTTTTTTGACTTATAAAATCAGATAATTATCCTGACATCAAAATATAAAATACAGTAAAACATTTAATGAAATGGTAAATACAGTGATTGGTGTACAAACTATATAACATGGGCAAGGTGAAACCAACTTAGAGGCCCCTGTAGAAGTTGGAACAAGAGGACTGGGACCTGGTCACAATACAAGATGTCACCCCTTTCACAATATTTGAGTTAATGCCCATGTTGTTAAGCTTTTGCATAATCATGTGGTGCTGAAAAGTATTGAAAGCTGCTGAAAAAACAACAGACAATATTCTTTAACATGATTTACTGTTATCCAGATGGCTATAAATTTTATGCAGGAGAGTCAGTGTTGTGTCCTCGACACCTGTTGGGTCTGTATGCAAATTGCAAAGGGTCCAGATAATGCTGAACTTCAAAAAATAATCTCTTGATAATGTGTGCAAGGCATTTCCTAGCTATTGAAATCAAAGCCTCAGGGTGGTTGTCATTGTGTACAGTTGGGTTTACTTTTGGGGAATAAGTAGAATGTTAGAACAGAGGAACATGATGGGAATGTAATGAAGCTTGAAAAGGTTTTCAAAATATTCCGCACAACTGCTCACTGCCTTCTTTCAATACCATACCATATAAAGTACCCTGGCCTTAAGCCATGTGTATGTTTAGTGTGATAAGGACATCATCATTAGATATGGCTATGTTATCACCCTGCTGAAGGGACTCATGTTTCAGTTTCAACATGTGAGTAGCGAAGTAGCAAAATGAGCATAAAAAGAGTCATTATTTTCATTATTACTAATTGGAGATGGAAAGACTCTGGAATATATAAAAATGGGATACAAAATGACAGAAGGGAGAGGTAACTACTGTGATACGAAATGACCTGTTACCATGGAGTGGACAGAAACCTGTAACTTCATGATGTCTGTGAACCACTTGCCCAGGAGCCTGTATTATGGGATGTCCCACCATTAATACTACATCCATACAACACTCACACTTACCACTCACACAATACTTTATATGCAGTTGCCTCCACATTCAATTACAAAATAGATCTCTTTCACTGAAATGTTCTGTGATTTTTTTACTCATATATACTTGGCAGTGTTTAACAGAATCACTTCCAACATTGTTGAGTAAATTTCCTACAAAGCCGATTCATTCTAGCAGAAGCTAATGTGTATTGACACACATGTACAGCTTGGAAGTGTTTTGTCTCAACACAATGAGACCATAGTAAGTATGCAAGCTGTATTATGAAGGCAGTGGTCAGTGTTGTCCAACTGGATAGCCCCTGGTCTGGATTAACCTCAACGGGTTAACTGGTCGACCTCCTTTGACCACCTTCACCTCAGCAGACCTGAACATAGAATTATAAGGCCTGTACATATAAGGCAGCTTACATGAGTAGTGCTTTAATTACCATTACAGCTGCATGTGGCTTTGATTGCTGCTCGTGTTGACTAAGACTATACATGGCTGTGCATGGCGTTAATTGATTAAAATGTTTGATAAGTCTTAAACTTTTCACAAGACGTCAACAAGCATGGTGATTAGCAGAGATTAGATTTCCCATATGAAATAGAACTGAGGTGAAGAATATGTGAAAAACACAACTGTGATCAACTACTGATTGTATATGTGTACTATATGACCATGTACAAGAGCCCCTGAACTGTCATGCCCCAAGTTGGTCAGCAACACATGAACAGATGATTGTGAGCGACACATGAACAGATGATTGTGAGCTACAAATGAACAGATGATTGTGAGCGACACATGAACAGATGATTGTCAGCAACACATGAACAGATGATTGTCAGCAACACATGAACAGATGATTGTTAGCGACACATGAACAGATGATTGTCAGCAACACATGAACAGATGATTGTCAGCAACACATGAACAGATGATTGTTAGCGACACATGAACAGATGATTGTGAGCGACACATGAACAGATGATTGTCAGTGACATATGAACAGATGATTGTCAGCGACATATGAACAGATGATTGTCAGTGACACATGAACAGATGATTGTTAGTGACATATGAACAGATGATCATCAGTGACATATGAACAGATGATTGTCAGCGACACATGAACAGATGATTGTCAGTGACACATGAACAGATGATTGTGAGCGACATATGAACAGATGATTGTCAGTGACATATGAACAGATGATTGTGAGCGACATATGAACAGATGATTGTCAGTGACATATGAACAGATGATTGTCAGCGACACATGAACAGATGATTGTCAGTGACACATGAACAGATGATTGTGAGCGACATATGAACAGATGATTGTTAGCGACACATGAACAGATTATTGTCAGCGACATATGAACAGATAATTGTCAGTGACACATGAACAGATGATTGTTAGCGACATATGAACAGATAATTGTCAGCGACATATGAACAGATGATTGTTAGCGACACATGAACAGATGATTGTTAGCGACACATGAACAGATGATTGTTAGCGACGCATGAACAGATGATCGTCAGTGACATATGAACAGATGATTGTTAGCGACACATGAACAGATGATTGTTAGCGACACATGAACAGATGATTGTTAGTGACACATGAACAGATGATTGTTAGTGACACATGAACAGATGATTGTTAGTGACATATGAACAGATGATTGTTAGTGACACATGAACAGATGATTATTAGTGACACATGAACAGATGATTGTTAGTGACATATGAACAGATGATTGTTAGTGACACATGAACAGATGATTGTTAGTGACACATGAACAGATGATTGTTAGTGACACATGAACAGATGATTGTTAGTGACATATGAACAGATGATTGTTAGTGACACATGAACAGATGATTGTTAGTGACACATGAACAGATGATTGTCAGTGACACATGAACAGATGATTATCAGTGACATATGAACAGATGATTGTCAGTGACATATGAACAGATGATTGTCAGCGACACATGAACAGATGATTGTCAGCGACATATGAACAGATAATTGTCAGCGACACAGGAATATAAGCGACACCTAAAATAAGTCTTAGATGATTCTATTCATAAACTGTACCTACTCATATAGCTCTTTATAACACAAGATACAATCCACCAACACATTGACCCAACACAACGAGCTGCCATTCTTTCAGCAGTCAGACAAAGGACTTGACACAAGCTTTGTCAAGACAAGGAGTGGTGGACTGTCCCAGAGACAGTTGCATGTGCCTGGTTTTGAACAAGGAGTTGTTGGGGTGGGGCACACTACCCAAGTCACAGAGTGAATATACACATGCTAACTAAGGGGGTGACTGACACATGTTGGCAGTAGACAGCCTGAAGCCAGAAGATTCTTGATCTGTCAATACCACGGTCACGTTCCTAGATTTCATCCAACTGTGTCACTTCAGGCTTTTACTCCCCTACATTGAACTGACAGGCATTGATTACGCTGAAAAATGGGAAAAACTTCAAAGTTAAACGCAACTCTATGTCTGGCTTGCTATCATATACCACGTCTAGACCTGTGACATCCTGTCCCTGGTGCTATCAGTCTATGGTTGCTGTGTGTATTGCCACCAAGGTATCATGTAACACCTCACGCCACGTTTCAATT